AACGCGCAACACCTTCAGAGAAGCCCGGCGACGTAGCCATTACGCCACCTACTGGTTCCACATACACTCATCTTAACCTGCACACAAGGACCCGGATAAGCGAAAGAGTAACTGTTTCGGGTTCTCTGGTTCCTGGGGATAGAGGAACCAGCGGACCTGCCAGTCATACTCTGCGCATGCTCGGTTCGTGCCGCCGCGCTCCCTCCTCTCTCGTGTCGGAAGTCCGGGTTTTTTCGTGAAATTACGACAGTCGTAAACTGGGATTTTTCCTGACGGCTTCCTAGCTTTACGATGACAACAACTATGGCGGCTGTTAGTGGTAGATTTGAAAGTGCGAAGAGTATCGAAGAGCGGAAAGAACAGACGCGAGTCGCTAGGGCGGAGGTGTTGCGTCAGGTACCTCCGTTTGGGGCTTTTAGCAGCGCTGTGGGAGTGGAGGGTTCCTGGGAGCCAGCCCCCACCGGTCCCGCTCCGCATTTCTCACCTATGCCTCACCTGCGGGGGGCGGGTCTCCGTTTGCGCTGCGGGTACACGCGCGTATCCTAGACGTTTTGGCAGGTTCCAGTTACGCGGTCTCTTTTCAGGGAGGTGTTTCGTTTCCTCTGAGTTTCGTTACCTTTAAACTCGTCCTCTGTTGCCATTTCTGTCACCTGGATTACTCAGTTTACAGATACTCAGCTGCTCGTAGCAACTCAGCCAGAGCGTTCGCACCGCAGTTATCGCGCCTCCTGTGTGTGGAATGAAACTTTCTCATTTTGAGGACCGTATGTGACGCTCATTTGAGTACAGTGTTTGACATTTCGTTCACCTGTCTTACTCTTGGGATCTGTTCCAGAGTTATTGTAATCTTACTAATCTAAACAAGAGTTAAGAGACCCAGAAAGTGTAGTCTCTTACTGAAGTTCAGAAATGCTTTATTTATCATGAAGACTGAGACGTATAAGGGTATGATAAAGATGAGAGGAAGTAAACTATTGAGTTATCGGATAAGTTATTCAAGATGTAAGAAGTATGGCAACGAAATGGAAAAGTTGGAGAGCTGTACAGGGTACAGCGAGTGATAGAGTTTTAAACAAGTTTAAATGCAGGTGTGAAGGAGGTAGTGGAGAAAAGGGAAAGGGGACAGGAAGGAGAAGGCATAATGACTGCTGGCCAGAGTTTAAGGGGGAGAGTGTGGGAGGTTAGTGTTGTACCAGTGAAATGTTGGTATGTTTCTGAGTTTTACCTACATACACACATACACGTTACAAATGTTCTTTCCTGCCTCTTTAGTATATTCAAGCAATTTTTGGAGGGAATAGGATTTGTGAGCTGTAACTACTTTTATAGTAGAGATATGCATTTATTTGAGAAGTTCAAAAGCCTTGTTTGGAAATGAACATTTATGAGTAGATATGTTTATGTGAAAGTGGAAAGGGTTGGGGCCAGCAGGTGGCGAGGTGGTTGTAGCTCTGTACGGGGCTGATTGTGGTTTAAGTCTCGGTTCTGGAGGTTTACTTTCTTTATGTCTGTCTGGTGAGTACACCTGTTCTAGAGGAAATTTAAATCAATCAATCACTCAAAATCTTTTTTTTTTTTTTTATAGGAAATTTAAATCAATCAATCAAAATCATTTTTTTTTTTAAAGAGAGAGATTTTTGCTATAGGGCACATGTGCTCACTGGAGAGAAACAGACAGAGAAAAAGCAAGAAATCACCCCTCTGGGGGGACACCCATGCCACAGTCCCTTCTCCATCCTCCTTCTAGAATTTTGGGCATGTGCCTGACTTGAGTTTCAAGCCTCCAGGATTCAAACCATGGTTTACTGTGGGAATCCAGCGCCTTAACCACTGCACCACCTACTGGCCCAGTAAATAATTAAAAAAAAAAAAAGGGGAATAGGTTTTGTTTTCCTTTCATTGTGAACAACACTGAATTACTAATTTGTCTTTTTTGTTGTTGTAGGCTAAAGCCAATTTTGAAAAAGAACAAAGATGTAAAGAACTTAAACGACTTCGGGGCGAGGACACTTGGATGCTACCTGATGTGAATGAGCGAATTGAGCAGTTTTCACAGGTGAATAAAAGCAGGTTTATTTGAACTAAGGGTCTCTCTCTCTCTCTGTTTTTTACCTTATTCAAGGTAATATTGGAAGAATAACTTTATATACCATTTTAATGAGTTAATAGAATAAATATCACGTAGTTGGCTTTACTGAATAGTTTTATTTCTCTGGCAAAAGTAGTATAATATTTTGATGATATCGCAAAGATTTTCTTACTTGAGTTGGCAGGTACAATGCTGAGCTTCAGACTTCTGACTTACTCGTAGCAAGCTTATAGATCTAAAAAAAATTAGGCATTTTAAACTTTGTGTCTTGATTTTTCTTTAGGTCTCTATTATAGGAAATGTTTTAATTTCCTATAATATTTCATTTCCTATCATTAAAAAAAATTTAAGTTCATTTTTATTTATTTGTATCTTAAGAAGAGATGGCTAGAAAGAGAAAGATATGCAATAGACGAACACACACGTAGACAACCTCAACAGGTTCTCCGTGCTATAGTCCTACTTCTGTCTTCAGCCAGCCTGGATGAAATGCAGGTACATGTACTTGGCATCCATGTGGAGCCCTTGAGCGGCAAACCTGAGTCCTTCCCGTGTGACTTCAGCATTGTGGAGCACTGTGTTACTGCTGTATCACCTGGTTTAAAATTTATTTATTTAATTTTATTTTATATTTTAAGGAGCTATTTATTTATTATTATGATTTCTTAATTTGCTATAGCACATGCACTCACCAGAGAGAAACACAGAGACAGAGAGAAAGTGAGAAAGCAAGCCGCTGCGAAGCGCCAGGTCTGGGACTCTAACTGTAGCTGGCCCTGTGGGAGTACATTGCCTTAACCACACTCCACCGGCTAGCCCCTTAACATTTATTATTAATTGACAAATAATAATTGTATATATTTGTAGGATATAGTTTGATGTTTTGGTATACGTATACTTTATAGAAAGATTCAGTCAAGCTAGTTAACATGTCCATCACCTCAGTAACTTACCTTTTGTTTTTTTAGGAGAATATTAAAAATCACTTTTTTTTTTAGCAGTTCTGAAGTATATGTTATTATAATTGTGGTTACTCTGAAGTGCAATATCTCACTAGAATGTACTCATTTTGTCTAACTGAAACTTTGTACCCTTTCATCAACATCTTCTCTTTCTCCAACCCTTCCACTGTCCATGCCCTCTTCCTGTTTTAATTCACGTTTTCTTGTCGTATATTTTATGACCTAATAATTTAGTATAAATTTTATGGGGGATCACAGGAGGGTACTACATATGTATGTGTGTGCGTGTGTGTGTGTGTATATATACACACATGCGTTTTTATATCGGAATTTTTCTTGTATTTCTGGTAAGAAGTCCAAGCTGTATGATTTATTATCAGTGCTTATGTAAGTCATGGTAAGGTTTGTGGAGAAGATTTTGTTTATTTAGTCTTTATTTTTGTCTCATTTTATGTAAGATGTAAAGTAAGATAAAACTGAATTTCTTTCTTACATGGTCAAAATGATTATTTATAGGAACACTCTGTGAAGAAAAAGAAGAAAAAAGATAAGCATTCAAAAAAAGTAAAGAAAGAGAAGAAGAAAAAGAGCAAGAAGCAGAAATATGAAAAAACCAATGACTCAGCCGATAGCTCATCAGTAAGTATGTACTAAAACTAACCAGAACAGCCAGTTGACAAGGTTTTGTTTAAAAGAATAATATATGAGGACTTAAAAAATGTGAGAACTGGGTCAAGCTACAGTGGCACAAGCGGGATGCTGCTGCTCCATGGTAACTGGGGCTGTCTCAGAGGCTCAGGTTTGCTTCCCACCCAACCTAAATAGACCTGTGATCCTAGCCAAGTGGGAGGTTTGGACAGGAGAAGTGGGAGTTAGGAGTTAGACCTCACTTGTAGGTAGACAGGGTAGGGGCTCCCCATAGTGGAGTTACTGTAGTTTTGCTTTCTATGATCTGGTAAATATTCACTGTGCTCCCATTATAAGTCTCAGAGGAATTTATGACTCCCTGTTACTGGGCAAAAATCACATGGAAACCAGTCACTGTCCAGAGCACAAAGGAAATCTCCATCTTTAAGTAAAACAGCCATCTAGCCCTCCCCAGGGACTGGGGGTGGGGGATTAACTCAAGACTCCCAGGTGCCTTGAGTTCCAGGACCTGGGCTGACAACTCATTTCAGAGTAGCAGGTTTTTCTTCCTTGTCAGGATCTTATTTAACCAGGCTATTTTGGCCCGTCTATGGAATTTACTTGGGCCCACTTCTTTGTACTGCGTTGGAAGCTTTTCCTTCTTTAGTTAAACTCTGCTTGCTGTCCTCTCCATCTGTCCATTTGCACTTCTAATTCCTCTTGAATATTGGACAAGAAGGGGTGCTGGGCCGATTACCCCTGCACCCTTGAGCCAGTGGGATGTGGTGAGATACTGCCAAAAATCTCAGCTGTACATTACTAGGTGGTTTTCAAAAATCTCAGCTGGGGAACCAGCAGTTAGCGTAATGGCTATGTCGCTGGACTCCCACGTAGTCGACCGCGGTTCGTGTCCCGGACCCGGTGGCTTAAAACTCACGTCGGGCGCGTGTGCGTGCGTGCCCAAGATCCCGAGAGGAGAATGGAGGAGAAGGGATTGCGGCGTGACCATCCCCTCTGGGGGGTGATTTCTCGCTTTCTGTCTCTATGTCTCTCTCTGTCTGTCTGGCGAGCGCACGTGCCCTACAGTGAAAATCTCTCCAAAAAAAAAAAAAAAAAAATCTCAGCTGTACATTACTAGGTGGTTTGCGCAAGGTCATTTCTATGTTCTTTCCGATAGTTAAAGTTCTCCAGATTAGAAGAAAAGATTTTAGAGCCAGACAGATTCGATTCCTGTTTGGTTTTCATACTTAAGATACCATGTAACCTGGGGAAATTACTTACTTTCAAGTAACTTTCCTTATCTGTAAGACCAAAATAACACTTTATCGGGTTGTTTTGAGGATTCAGTATGATAACGTATGTGAAAGTACTTAGGATAATACTTGGCATAGAAGAATAGACTGATACTTTTTTATTTTTTCTTTTTTTGGAGAGGATTTTGCTATAGTGTGTGTGCGCTCGCCAGAAAGACAGAGAGAGACAGAGACAGAAAGCGAGAAATCACCCCCCAGGGGGATGGTCATGCCATAATCCCATCTCCTCCATTCTCCTCTCGGGATCTTGGGCACGCACGCACATGCGCCCGGCATGAGTTTAAGCCACCAGGTCTGGGACTTGAACCACAGTCGACTACATGGGAGTCCAGCGGCACAGCCATTATGCTAACTGCTGGTCCCAAGACTGATACATTTTTTGAAAACAAAACAAATCCCCAACCTTGGTATAATAATCAGAACATAGATGCTGATTAAGTACCTCTTAGTTGATATAATCTGTTATTTTGGGTCAGCACATGGCGGACCACTGTTTGAATCCTAGACCTGGTGGCTTGCTTTCTCTCCCTCTCTGGGAAAACTCATGTGAAAAAATAATAATAATGCATAAATAAATAAATAATCTGTTATTTAGACACAGTAAGCAAAGTGCTTTTGCCAGCCTAGCTGTTACCTGTGATCTCTGCGTTCTTTTATTTATTTATTTATTTTTGGAGAGGTTTTTGCTATAGGGTGTGTGCGCTTGCCAGAAAGAGAGAGGCAGAGAGACAGAAAGTGAGAAATCATCCCCCAGTGGGGATGGCCATGCCACAGTCCCTTCTTCTTCATTATCTCTCGGGATCTCGGGCACGCACTTAAGCACATGTGCCCAGCATGAGTTTAAGCCACCGGATCCAGAACTCGAACCGCGGTCGACTACATGGGAGTCCAGTGACATACCCATTATGCTAACTGCTGGTCCCAAGATCTCTGCATTCTTTAGATCCAGAGAAATCTGAAAATTTGAAACTTAGGGGCAAACAGCAGGCTCATTTATGTGGATGTTGTTTCCAGTCATTCTAGGGAAGCAAATGTGTGAGTAGTAACGAGTTTGGTAGGAACCAAAGCGAGTTCTTTATCTAGCAGTTCTTATTTTTGGTTTTTGCTTTCCCTTGGCTTAACAATAAACTATTTAGAAAATGGAAGAAATTTGGTCACATTATGTGGCCTTAATTCAAAGTTGTGGGTTTACATATTCTTCAAACTTTGAATGTCATTTATAATAAGGGAAAATAGAATGTAAGAACTTTCTCTAGGAAACTACTTAATCACAGCACAGACATTTTATATGAGAGTATGCAAAGTTGAGAATTTCCCTTATATACTAAATGTCATTTTTTTTTTTTTGAGAGTTTTTTTCGCTATAGGGCGCGTGCGCTCGCCAGACAGACAGAGAGAGACATAGAGACAGAAAGCGAGAAATCACCCCTCCAGGGGGGATGGTCACGCCGCATTCCCTTCTCCTCCATTCTCCTCTCGGGATCTTGGGCATGTACGCACACGCGCCCGGCGTGAGTTTTTTTAAGCCACCGGGTCCGGGACGCGAACCGCGGTCGACTACGTGGGAGTCCAGTGACATAGCCATTACGCTAACTGCTGGTTCCTATACTAAATGTCTTTAGAGCTCTGAAGAGGAATGGGTTGAAGCTGTTCCATCTCAGACACCTGGAAAAGAAAAGGCCTGGAAAGTGAAAGATGAAACGTTAGATAAAGAAGACAACAGCCAAGTTATTCAGGTAAGCAAGGCACATGTTTTTTTAAAGAAAGAAGTGTCAACTTCTAAGAATAGGTAAATGTTAAAATGAAAATTGATTACAGTTTCTTCAGGAGGAGAATTAGAATTTGAAAACACACACTTTATGAATAATTTTGGCAGTAGTGCTTTTCGCCGTGCGTTTAGACTCCATGTCTCTAGTCTTCTAGAGATTTTCTTGCTTCTTGTTAACAGAGTAAGAGTGCTTTTCCCTTACTTAAGGAAGCCTTACACTGTTGATATTAGCTCTTCCAGAACCCTTTCACAGTGAATAGAGTTGAGTCACAGTTTTTCTGTCCTTTCACCTCATCCTAAGCTATTTTTAGTAATTCTTAGAGTCGAATAGTTCACCAGTTTTGGGTTATTCTTCATGTGCCTTTGGAATAGTGCAGTTTATGAAGGAATAAAGGTTGCAAGGAACCAATGTTTGATTGCTTGCTGTGTGCCAGGCATTGTGCCCGATGTTGTATACCTGTTACCTTGTTCACTCTTTCATACAATTCTGAAAGGTAGGCGTTTGTCCCATTTTATAATGTGGAGGATAAGGCATAGAGAGATTAAGAAACTTGCTTAAAGTGGTATAGCCATGTAGGATTTGATCCGGGCTTGAGTGCCTCCACAGTCCCTGCTCTCATTACCAAATGTTTGTTTGTTGTTTATTTTATTTTTTCTTTTTTTGTAGATAGAGGTTTTTGCTATAGGGCACGTGCACTTGCCAGAAAGAGAGAGACAGAGACAGAAAGTGAGAAATCACCCTCCCCCCCCGGGGGGATGGCCACGCCTCAATCCCTTTTCCTCCATTCTCCTCTTGGGATCTTGGGCACGCATGCACATGCGCCCGGTGTGAGTTTAAGCCACTGGGTCTGGGACTTGAACCGTGGTTGACTACATGGGAGTCCAGCGACATAGCCATTATGCTAACTGCTGGTCCCTTGTTTATTTATTTTTATTTTTTTGAGAGTTTTTTGCTATAGGGTGCATGCACTCGCTTGAAAGAAAGAGACAGAGAGACAGAAAGCGAGAAATCACCCCCCGGGGGGATGGCCACTCCCAAATCCCTTCTCTATTCTCTTCTCGGGATCTTGGGCACACACGCACATGCACCTGGCATGAGTTTAAGCCACTGGGTCTGGGACTCGAACTGTGGTCGACTACATGGGAGTTCAGCAACATAGCCATTACACCAACTGTTGCTCCCACCAAATGTTTATTATTAGTTTCCAATTAATTCAGATTAAAATGTCTTCCTTTTTTAAACAGAGGGATGAGTGGATGACTGTTGACTTTATGTCTGTTAAAACTATGTCATCATCATCACTCAAAGCTGAAAAGGAAACTAAAAGAAGAATAGAGCAAGAGAAAACTCAGGCACTGGAACAGGTAAGAGAATATTTAAAATGCTCTTTTTAATTTGTCTTTAGTAAACTGTTAAGACATTAGTATAACTGTAGTTTTGCTTGTAAAATATTATTTTATCTGTTGTAGTATTTAAAATAATGAGAACAACTATTGTGCCCAACATAAAACTTGAACTGCAGCCTAGTCTCTTGTCACTGTTAGTCACAATTCTCATTTTTAGCCAGTCTGAATTACTTGTAGTTCCCTGAAAATGCTGTGCGCTCTCTTTCTCTAAAGTTTTATGAAAATGCTGTCTTTCTGTGTACCTAGAGCATCTTTATTTATTTATTTTTGTCTTTAAATATTTGTTGTAATTTGTGATTTACATATAAGCAAGCCTCCAGGTCCAGGACTTGAACCACGGTCGGCCATGTGGGAGTCCAGTGCCTTTAACCACCACGCCACCTGCTGACCCCAGAATGGTCTTTAAAAGTATGTGTACAATGCTTTTAAAGTGAACAAATCGAGAATATAAACATATTTACCAAAAATATCTTCAATGTTTGAAATTATATTATGTTGTGTACATTTGAAACCTACTCCAATGGCTTTTCTGCAAGTATATACTGAATTGTTATGATTCTTTACTATGTGATGCAGTTCTAAAGAAAAACATATTGATTAAAAATCAGTCAAGAAAAGATCTCGTAAATTATCAAAGATAATCTTAACATAGCCAGTGAAAGAAGAGTTTGTCATTTCCATGTAGAGGACTGTGGAAGATAAGTTTATAATCTGAAAAAAATCTGTGGGTGTCAATTGTTGGTCCATAGTTTATAATCTGAAAAAAAATCTGTGGGTGTCAATTGTTGGTCCAGGCAGAGATAGGTAAAATTGTACATAACAATAGCTCATTAGGAAGAGATAGAAAAAGAACACTTTTACTCACTCACTGAGTTCTTGTAAGACCGTAGCACTGTAGTGTATATAAAGAAGTCAGTAAAACAAAAAGAGATGTTTTAAAATGAAGACATTACCTAGAACATCTTTATTCTCTTTACTCCCCTCCTTCTCCTCCCACCCCCCCAAAAAAGAAAAATTAGGTAATTTGTGCTCATCTAAGACTGCACTTATTTATTTGTTTGTTTGTTTGTTTTAGAGGTTTTTGCCTTGGGCGGTGTGCAATCTGGAGAGAGAGAGAGGCAGGCAGAGACAGTGAGAGGGACCTGGAGAGAGAGGCAGGCAGAGACAGTGAGAGGGAAAGTGAGAAATCACCCCCCTGGAGGGATGGCCATGCCTCAATCCCTTCTCCATTCTCCTCCTGGGATCTTGGGTACCCACACATGTGCACTGTGTGTTCAGGCCACCGGGTCTGGGATTTGAACTGTGGTTGACCATGTGGGAGTCCAGCGACCTAACTGCTATACCATCTGCTGGCCCCAGGACTTCACTTATTATTTGTTGTAGAAAGTTTGAATTCTTTGTTACATGAGCATGCTGTATCCTCAAAGCATATATTAGTTTGTTATTGCTTGTTTCCTTCACTGCATTACAAGCCATTCAGGAATATTGACAGTTATATTTTTTACATCTATCACAATTCTGAGACATACCAGGCATTTAATAAAACACTGAATGAATGTGAATTTAGACATTATTTCTTTAAAGTTACATGATAGTGTGCCTTCAGAGTGTTTTAAATGATTTGCCCAGGGTTACAACTAGATCTCAGATTTATTATTAATATTTTTGGTAGTGCATTTATTTTTAAGTTCTGATCTCTGAAAACATTTTATTTTAGTCCACACTGCAGGAAAGAGAATTGAATCCATACTGGAAGGATGGTGGGACAGGTCTTCCACCAGAAGAGGGTAGTGCATCATCAGTTACCAAAGGTATCCCTCTATTTTGGTTGTAGACACACGAACATTTCTTATAACTTGATATTCCTGAGGGAATAACCTGAGTTTACACCTGACAAAGCATTGATAAAACATTTGCAGTATTCCAAAACCTTATTAAAATCATTTGTATTTGGGAAGGTTATTTTAATTATGCTATGTTTAGGAGCAGGTTGATTAAATACATATTTTTATACTCCATAATGTTTTCATTTGTGAGCTTCTATTTTAAGTGAATTAATGCAAAGTATGATTCTGTGAGTATATAATTGTTCGATTTATTACATTCTATAACAAAATATAAAAAGTGTTAAATGTGAAATATTATGAAAGTAGTGTTTGAAAATTAAAGATGTGGTTTCATATCTTCAGAAATTTCTACTTTGCATTTATAAAAATCTGTGGAGTGCTGATCTATTCCAGCAGATGGAGACAGAATATTTAAGTGTTACATAAGCTTGCTTTATAACATAATTTAAAATGTTTGTTAAGTGTTGTATTGACTACGCAATGAAAAGTTTATTATAATTAACATGGTAGACATCATAAATTATGATGTTATCTCTTCATCTTAGTGATTATTAGTGGGATGTTTTCCTGCTTTTTATACATGGTTTATTTAGTTATTAAAATGTTTTGCTAAATGCCGGGGGTTCTCACTAGACAGAGGCAGAGAGAGAGAGAGGCAGAGAACGAGACAGAAAGAGAAAAAGCACCTTCCACGAAGAATGTTCATGCTGCCATCTCTTCTCCTCCACCTCTCCTTTCTTTTGGGATTTCAGGCATGCATACAAACGAGCCGGGCATGTTTCTCAAGCCACTGGGTCTTGGACTCCAGCTGTGTGATTGGCTATGTAGGATCTGACTGCCTGAGCCAGCAGGCCATGGAGCCTGCTCCATTTTAATCAGTTTCACCGATGATTCTGTGGAATGAGCAATTTAATGATATAGTTGGGTATTAATACAAGTATTCTTTAGCGTGGATTTCTTGTCATTGCCGATTGCAGATTTAGACGATAAGTTCCTTGAGTGGTTGCACTGTTAATTTTGAACTCTTAGACTATATAAATTTAAAAAAGAGCAGGAGTAAAGTAAGCCTTTGAATGAAAAGTAAAATGATTAACTAGTAATACAGATTTTGACGTACAAAGTAGTTCAGATGTTTGTAAAGAAAGCTACATTATCTTAGAAGTGATTGCTTAGTAAAGATAAACTTCTGAGATTTGAATGGGAATAGAATTAATTTAAGGACTAAACAATTTGTTTTTTAAATAAAAACTTTGTGTTGATGTTGTACATGTATAGAAAAGTACACAAAATATAAATGTACGGCAGACTGAAGATTTTCACACAGCAAAAACATAGGGCTAACCAGTGCACAGTTTAAGAATTGTCAGAAGCTCTCTTCTGGTTTTTAGTTTGTCACTCCATGGTGACTGTTTTCCTGTTCTCCTTTGTTTCCAGCCCCTTGCGCCCACATTTGCAGATTTGTCCTTATTGTTGGGTGTAATCGTAGTGCCTTCATTGGCCTTGATGTACCTGAGTCTTTTTAGGAGTATATCACAATCTGTTTATCCCTTCTACTAAGTTCCTGGCTTATTTCCAGGCTGGGACTGTTACAGATTGTCCTGCTCTCAGCATTCTTATGCATATCTTTTGGGGTCGGTATGTGTGCATTTTCGTTGGTTTTGTCCTGCAGTTATCTTAAAGTAATTCTTTTTTGGGGTCAGAAAACTAGATACAGGATTTTGATTTAAGTAATTCATTGGATTTCCTCTTCACACATATCAAAAGTATAATATATAGAGGGAAATATAAGCAGCTTAATAAAGTTCTTTGAAGGCATTCAAATTTTCACAGTTGGTATTCATGACTAAATAGGGTAATTAGTTCTAACACGTATTTCCACATTATTTTTCATAACTTTCTTAATAGTTCTTTGTGGTGTATTTGAGGTAGCTTTTACCTTCTATATATTTGTCTTTGTTCTTTATTTCCTTCTTAGAATGCCTTGCCTACTTTTTCCTTTTTTAGTGGAGATACAACTCTTAAGCTTGGTTCATAGAATTTTTTTTGATCTTCCAGTTAGAAATAATTCTTCACTTTATACTTTCTTTTTTTCGAGAGGTTTTTGCTATAGGCTGTGTGCACTCACCAGAAAGACAGTGTCAGAGAGACAGAAAGCAAGAAATCACCCCCCAGTGGGGATGGCCATGCCACAATCCCTTCTCCTCCACTCTCCTCTTGGGTTCTTGGGCACACACATACACGCGCCCGCATGAGTTTAAGCACTTGACTACATGGGAGTCCAGTGACACAGCCATTATGCCAACTGCTGGTCCTCTTCACTTTATACTTTCTATAACCCTTTACATCTTTATATAATAGGTATAACATATTATCTTAAATCCTTTTATTCTAATTCTGATAGGTTGGAATCTTTTTGAGCATAGTTTACTTACCTTTTCCTTCTTCATAGTACAGAACTGTGTACTTTTCAAAGAGTCACTCTATCTGGAATTTTAAATATACTTATGATTTTTATATGTTCAAAGAAAAGTACTTAATTTTATACTTTAATACTAGTCCTAGAGGCAGCATATGTAATTCTATGATAACTGTATTAAAAGCATAGCTAACATTTAATATTGAAATTTAGTTTCAGTGGTAGAAGATGGTGGATTAAGCTGGCTAAGGAAGTCTTATCAAAGAATGAAAGAACAAGCTGAGAAACAAAATAGAAATTTTGAAGATATTGTAGCAGAAAGATATGGGGTGAGTATCTATCTGTATTGAGATATGTATGCTTTCAAAATTATATAAAAAATTAAGTGCCCCTAACTTTGATTTATGACATGAGATGATTTTGAATTAAATTAATATTGTTTTATATCTTCATACTGCTGAAGTTCTTTTCTGCTTTTTGTTGTTGTGTAACTCCTGAGGCATTTTTTATTGATGTAATTATATAAACTTAAATAATTCAGGAAAGTCTGGATGGTACAGCTTTGGAGATTACCACTGTTGAAATTTTGGTGTATTTCAGTTTGATATATTCTAGGGTTCTAAAGAAGTGTATATGTACTTTTTTTTTTTTTAAGAATTATTAATTCAATTTTATTTACTTATTTTTTATTATTCTTCATTTTGACCAGAGAGAGAGAGAGAGAGAGACACAGAGAGAGATGAGAGTGAGAAAGCAAGCCACCAGGTCCAGGACTCAAACCATAGTCAGCCATATGGGAATCCAGCATCTCAACCACCATGCCACATGCTGGCCCATGAAGTGTATGTATACTTTTAAAACAGTGAACCCATGCAGCATATATGATATTTAGAATAGTCAGTTCCCCTTGGTCATCATGTGTGGGGATAATCTTTCTATTTCAATAGTAATTGATGTCAATTTTTTCCCTCTCATCAGTTTTCAGAAGAAAGCAGGTTTAGAAAGTAGTAAGATTTTAAAAACTGTAAGCAAATCTCTCCCAACCTTCCCAAAGAAAAGAGGAGGAAAAAGTCATCCTCTGTCTTAAGAAAATCTTTGTTGGGACCGTCAGGTGGCGTGGTGGTTAAGGTGCTGGACTCTCTCATGGCCAACTGTGATGTGGGTCCTGGACCTGGCAACTTGCTTTCTCAATTTTCCTTTGTCTCTCTTTCTTTTTCTAGTCAAATTAAACAAAATAATAATAACAAAATAAATAAATAAATTTAGAAAAAGAGAAAAAAGATTATGTGATCATTTAAATTATGTTTTTCCAGATTTTTTTCTTGTCTTTTCAAGGAGGCTGCTAGGATATACTTTGTATTATTATTATTATTTACTTACTAATATGTACATAGTTGAGTGCAAATAAATATATACATTTTAATAACTTACTATCTTCTCTTGTGTTTATATTACATTCCATTATTTATTTATTTGTTAATTGTTGGACATTTATATATTTTTCTCATTCCCTTCTTTTTTTGGTTATTGTTACGAGACAATGTAATGAGACAATGAGAGGGAATTTGAGAAATGACCGCTTGGGGGGGAATGGAGAATGGCCATGCCACAGTCCCTTCTCCATTCTTCTGGGATTTTGGGTGCAAATGCATGGCCTGATTTTCAAATCACCTGGTCAGAGACTTGAACCCTGAGTCCAACGCCTTAGTCACCATGCCACCTGCTGGTCCTCCTACCCTTCTGTTTTTGTTTGTTTGTTTGTTTTAATATAGAAGTATTTATTTTTAGATAATTACTTAATTTTTTTTATCATTATAACTGTACTTTTAAAATATTTGCTTCAGGGCATGTGTGTTTACCAGAGACAGAGAAAGAGAGAGAGAAAAGTGAGAAAGCAAGACTCTAGGTCTGAGACTAGAACCATGATCAGCCATGTGGGAATCTAGACCTTAACCACCACACTACCCGCTGGTTCTCTATTTTTTTAAAAGAACTATTAATTCAATTTTATTACCCGCTGGTTCTCTATTTTTTTTAAAAGAACTATTAATTCAATTTTATTTATTGTTGTTATTTTTAGTATGACTAAAGAGAGACAGAAGGGGAGAGAGAGCACTGTGATGACCATTTTTGTTCAGTGGATTTCTCATACTTATCTGGTTATTTTCTTAAGGTGAATTACTAAAAATGAAATTGATTGTTTAAAGGACATAGACGTATAAAGTGAGTTATATGGGGTCCAGCAGGTGACATAGTGGTTAAGGCACTGGAGTCTCATGACTGACTGGGGTTTGAGTCCTGGTTGGAAATTATGCAGGGTGTGTGTGCATGAGTACCTAAAATTTCAAGAGGAGAATGGAGAAGGGATTGTGGTATGGCCATCCCCCCAGGGAGTGATTTCTTGCCTTTTATATCTCTGTTCCTCCAGTGTCCCATAGCAAAAATCTATCTCCAATAAATAAATACATAAATAAATAAAATAAAGTGAGATATATGTTGCCAGATTTCTCTATAGAAAGGTTGAATAAACTATGCTTGTTGAAATACCTCTTTTAGTATGTAATTTTCAGTAGTAGGATTATTCTTTATAATCTACTTGCTATTGTGATCAGTCAACAGCTTTTTTTTTAATTTTTTTCTTTTATATTTATACATTTGTTTTTTAGTGGAGTTTTTTTTTTTTCTTTAATAGAATTAATGTGAGGACTGAATAGTCTATTTTTTCTTTAAAAGCTTGTTTTTTTTAGAGACTTTTTTCTGTAGGGTGCATGCACTTGCCAGAGAGACAGAGACAGAAAGACAGAAAGTGAGAAGTCACCCACTCTAGGGATGGCTGTGCCACAGTCCCTTTTCCTGCATTCTCATCTCAGGTATTTGGGCATGTATGCACACGCATCCGTCATGAGTTTTAAGCCGCTGTGTCCAGAACTCAAACTGTGGTTGACTACTTGAGAGTTTAGTGGCATAACTATTATGCCATTGGCTGATCCCTAAATAAAAACCTTTTATAAATTTATTCACTTCATCTATACAAAAGCAAGAGAGACAGAGAGAGATAAATAGAGACAGCACTCCAACTAGGGTCTAGATCCACTCCCATCCTTCATCCCACTGGATTACAGGCACACGTGGACACGATGTATATTCAGGGAAGTCTTCAGTTGTGTACCATAAACCTTCCCATGTGGATCGCCTCTTAGAACATTTCATTTTACCTCCCATTTTACTTTTCCTGTATTCAGATCATGACTTCCTGTAGGTAATATGAAGATACAATGTTTAAATAAAGTATCCTTGTATTCAGAGTTAGTCCAGCTCTGAATTAGGATACTTTTGGATATCTGTTTTGGCCATTTTTTTTTTTTTTTATTAAATTTGCTGTAGATACTGGGTTGTTGGAAAGTCGTGACGCATTTTTGCATAGAAAACTTAGTGTAATGACCTAATATTATTTGCTTATTTTTCTTTTGGTAGAATGATTAAGACTTTTTAATAACTCTGTTCAAATTTCTCCCCCTTAGTTTCATTTTTTTAATTAAATTAATTTTTTTTACCTTATTGATAATTTGTATGGATAAGTTAAAAACATTTTTTTAAGATGTTTTTGCCTCAGGACCAGCAGTTGGCATAATGACTGTGTCACTGGACTCCCATGTAGTCGACTACGGTTCGAGTCCTGGACCTGGTGGTTTAAACTCATGCTGGGCGCATGTGCGTGCATACCCAAGATCCCGAGAGGAGAATGGAGGAGAAGGGATTGCGGTGTGGCCATCCCCCCTGGGGGGTGATTTCTCGCTTTCTGCCTGGCTCTCTGGCTTTCTGGTGAGCACACGTGCCCTATAGCAAAAACCTCCCCCCCCAAAAAATAAAAAGAAAAAAAAAAGATGTGTTTGCCCTAGGTTTTATGTGCTCACCAGAGAGAGAGACACGGACAGTGAGAGGGAAAGGGAGTAATCACCCCCGAGGGGGAATAGCCACACCACAATCTCATCTTCATTCTCCTGGAATATTGGGCACACACGTACATGCGTCCTACATGAGTTTTTAAGCTACCGGTTCTGGGACTTGAACTGTGTTTGTCATTTGAGAGTCCAGTGACATAACTGCTAAGCCATCTGCTGGCTCCAAGTTTTCAATATTTTTTACCTAGAAAAATTATTCATATTCTTCTCATGACTTAATTCATTGACAGGTCTTCTGAACTCTCCATATCGTAAAATTGTGCACCTATATTTACTTCGAGCACTCATTCAGTTTAATTTTGTTATTTATTTATTTTAGAGAGATTTTTTTGCTATAGGGCATGTGAGATTGCCAGAGAGACAGAAGGTGAGAAATCACACCCCAGGGGGGTGGCCACACTGCGTTCCCTTCTCTTCTACTCTCCTCTCGGGATTTTGGGCAGGGGGGTGGCCACACTGCATTCCCTTCTCTTCTACTGTCCTCTCGGGATTTTGGGCATTCACATACACGTACCCAGTGTGAGTTTTAAGCTGCTGTGTCCGGGACTTGAACTGTGGTCAACTACATGGGAGTACAGCGATGTAACCATTCTACCATCTGCTGGGCCCCCAGTCTTATTTTTATGTGTATCTTTCTGGAATATATATTTACCACACTGCATTCCCTTCTCTTCTACTGTCCTCTCGGGATTTTGGGCATTCACATACACGTACCCAGTGTGAGTTTTAAGCTGCTGTGTCCGGGACTTGAACTGTGGTCAACTACATGGGAGTACAGCGATGTAACCATTCTACCATCTGCTGGGCCCCCAGTCTTATTTTTATGTGTATCTTTCTGGAATATATATTTATGTATCATGGGAAGTAGGTATGTGACTTTCCTTAAGTCTTTAGATAGTTATTTTCATGTATCGAGTGGATTATTCTTTTCTAGCTAATTTGAAATGACACATTATAATTCAATTTTTCTATTTGCATGAGTCCATTCCTTTATTTTCAAATCTATTTTATTTTTCTATCTTGGAATTAGTGTCATATTGTAAGACTATTGCAGTTTTCAGTAAATTATGCAGATAGCTACTAATGAATACTTACTACACAGCAGGGTTAATATTTTACTGGTTATTAAATTAGCCTTTTGTTCTTTTTTTTTAATTGCTGGAAGGTTTTTGTACTCAACAGAGTTAAGAGAGATGGAGAGACAGAGAGGGAAAGGGAGAAAGTGCCTCCCACTTGGGCATAGTTGTGCCACAGTCCGTTCTCCATTTCTCTGTCCTGTCAGGATATTTGGCACACATGGCTTGTTTTTCAAGCCACTGGGGCCAGGATTCAACTCTCTCAGTTAGCCATGTGGGATTGTAAGCACTAGGCCTTATGGCAGCCGTAGCATTTTATTCTTATGTGTTTATTTTTCTATGACAATTTAAAATAATTTCAATTCGTGTTCAACAGAAATAGCAATTTTCCAGAATCCATTATAAACTTAAAAGTCTTTGGAATTTTGATTTAAATTTAACTAAGCGTGTAGATAAATTAAGGGCAGTTAGTATCTTTGTAACGTTGAGTCATCATATCCCAAAACACCAGTGTCTTTCTTTACTCAAGTTTGCATTTATGCTTCTCAGGAATTTTCTATGTACAGTTATGTATGCGTCATCGAGGTTATTTTTACTTTATCTATTGTAAGTTAAATCTTTTTCTTTCTTATGCTTCATAACTTGCTGGTGGATTACTCTGCTAATTTTCTAAATTATTACCATTAGTTCTTAGTTTATTTTTTTTAAGCTTTAGTTTATCTGGGAGGGTAGCTTTTTCTTTTTCTTTAAGGTTTTTGCCATAGGGTCTGTGAGCTTGCTCAGACAGTGTGAGATCACCCCCTGCCACAATCCCTTCTCCATTTACATCTTGGAATTTTGGCATGCATGCACATCCACCTGGTGTAATTTTTCAAGCCACTGGGTCCAGGATTTGAACTGTGGTAGTCGGCCATGTGGGAGTCTAGCACCTTAAGCACTGTGCCACCTACTAGCCCTGAGGATAGCTTTTTGCAACTGGTGAATAGTTTTTATTCTCCCCAGTTATTATTTTTTTTTTTAAGAGGTTTTTGCCTTAGGATACTGCACTCATCAGAGACAGAGACAGACAGAGACAGTTAGGGGGAAAGTGAGAAATCACTGCCCCCCCCCCCAGGGGGGATGGCTGCATTGCAATCCCTTATACTCCATGGTCCCCCTGGAATCTTGGGCACGCATGCACATGCTCATGGCATGATTTTCAAGCTGCTGGGTGTGGAACTCGGACTGTGGTCAGCCACGTGGGAGTCCAGTGACATAACTGCTATACCTTCTGCTGGCTTCCATTATTATTTTAAAAATTTACTATAGGCCACATGCATGAGAGAGAGAGAGGGAGAGGGAGAGGGAGGGAGGGAACACGTGCGTGGAAGCGAGTTGCCAGATTTGGGACTCAGAACCCTGGTCGGCCACATGCAAGTCCAGTGCTACCTGCTGGCCCCAAGTTATCTATTTTATACTGTAAAATTACCTAAAACCTCTGTTAGCAAATTTTGTGTTTGTAATATGTATTATTAACTATAGTCCTTATGCCGTACATCAGATCTAGCTTTATTTATCCTGTAAAACTTTATAACCTGTGACCATCATCATCCCATTTCCCGATCTCTTGTAACCACATTTCTACTCTGTGTTTCTATGTATGATGCATCTTTTCCTTAAAGATTTTATTAAACTTTGCAACTTTAAGAGCAGTTATTGAGACTTGGCCATTACAATTGCCATTTGGTTTATGGTGTGTCATCATTATTCAGAGGTCTTGATCCCTATTTGTTTATGGTTTGGCTTATTCATCATTTTTGATTTGTTTCTCCTGATTTAGTAAGTGATAGCCCTTCAGAGTACTTATACATTTTTTTTGGAGAGGTTTTTGCTATAGGGCGCGTGCGCTCGCCAGAAAGCCAGAGAGAGACAGAGACAGAAAGCGAGAAATCACTCCCCGGGGGTGATGGCCACGCCGCAATCCCTTCTCCTCCATTCTCCTCTCGGGATCTTGGACACGTATGCACATGTGCCCGGCATGAGTTTGAGCCACCGGGTCCAGGACTTGAACCGCGGTCGACTACGTGGGAGTCCAGCAACATAGCCATTATGCTAACTGCTGGTCCCTGGAGTACTTACAGTTTTGAAAATGGTTTTCCTTTGCTTATACAGGGAACAATAGTTTGACTATTAACTGATTTTTTAAAAAATATGGAATTATAGCCAAACAATTTTTAAAAAAAATTGATTGTTATTCTATTTTCTATTTGGTATTGGTGATGAAAACCTGTTAATATTACTTTCTTTCCTTTGTAGGTAATAAGTTATATACCTTAGGGTTTTTTTTTTTTTTTCTTTTAATCTTTTCCTCTAAGGCAGTAGAGCCCTTCTGATCTGGAAAATCAGCTGGGGAAAATTTTTCCATGCATAGTAGTCTGCCCTTTGCCAGTTTGCTTTTCATAGTTTGTTACTTGTGGTCCAAATTACAGTCCAAAAATTGGTGAGTACTATATAGTAGAATAAGATATATTAGAGAGAGAGGGAGACTACATTCACATAATGTTTATTACTACATCTTGTTATAGTTGTTCTATTTTATTATTAGTTATTGTTGTGTTAATATCTTAATGTCCCTAATTATAGATTAAACTTTATCAGATATACCTATTCATAGGAAAAAGCAGTTCATGGTTTTAGGCATCCACTGAGGGTCTTGGGAGGTATCCTCCACAGATAAGAGATGCAGTACTTTTTAAGTTAATAATTTCTTTTTATCATTTCCCTCTAGTACATATGTATTAGATTTTCTAGAATTATTGGTCCATGTTTTGTTTCTCCTTTTTTTATATCTTATTTTTATTTGCTGTCTTTCTTTAAACTACAGAATTCCCAGGTGAATTTGGTCTTAAGAATTTTCTATTCTTCTTTTCAGTATATCTGGGCATTTTTTGTTTATTTGGACAGTTTTCCATTTATAAGTCTTTTTTTTATTTTTTAAGAGAGTTTTTTTTGCTATAGGGCGTGGGTGCTTGGGAGAGACAGAGAGACAGAAAGTGAGAAATCACCCCCCACAGAGGGGCTGGCCATGCCACAGTTCCTTCTTCTCCACTCTCCTCTCAGGATTTTGGGCACAAATGCGCATGTTCCCACTGTGAATTTTAAGTCTCCAGGTCCAGGACTTGAACCACAGTCGACCACATGGGGGTCTAGAGACATAACCATTATGTGTCATCTGCTGTTCCCAGTTTCTGATATTCTTTTTTTCTTTTTTGAGACGTTTTTGCTACAGGGCGCTTGTGCTTGCCAGAAAGACAGAGACAGAAAGCGAGAAATCACCTCCCAGGGGGGATGGCCACGCCACAATCCCTTCTCCTCCATTCTCCTCTTGGGATCTTGGGCATGCACACACATGCACCCGGTGTGAGTTTAAGCCACCGGGTCCAGAACTTGAACCGCGGTCGACTACATGGGAGTTCAGTGACATAGCCATTATGCTAACTACTGGTCCCACCAGTCTTTGATATTCTTGAACTGTTCTTTTTTCAGCAGAGTCAGTTAATGTTTTAGCAATATAGTAACCTCTTGATCTACTAATACCAGTAAAAATTATTATTTTTTTAAAAGTGTGTTTCTGTTTTCTTTATTACTTTGTATTAGTATAGGGTGTTTGGCTTAAGTAACTATAATTTTGAGATCTTTTTTGTTACTTGGTACCTTCTCATTGTTTACTTGTGTATTTTTGAAGTATTCATTTCAGTGTAGGATGATTATATGGGTCCTTTACCTTCCTTTGGTGGATTTTTCTTTTGTTTTGTCACTTGACAGTGTCACAGCACAGCAGTATGCTAGGGCAAGTCATTGAGCCTTTCTTAATTTTCAATGTCTTTAATTTCTCTCTTTTTAGTCAATGGAAATATTTCAGTCAAAATTAGAAGAAGCTGAAAAAACGGCATGCTCAAGAGACAATTACAGACAGGAACGGTGGAGGAAACCAACTTTTTCAGATAAAGCACAAAGTAGTCAAGAAAGTAGAAAATCAGACTTACTAAAATATAAACGTTCAAGGGATAGATATGATACAACAGACACTGCAAACAGTAGCAATAAAGATAAGTTTAGTGGTGATGAAAAAGATAAGCGATCTGGGTCTTCGGAATTGTGTAGAAGACAAACCAACCCAAGGCAAAGTCAAGATTTTTCTTCTGGAAATTTGAGACCTAAATTCTTAAGACCCTCGGATGATGAAGAGCTGTCAAGTCACAGCAAGCACAGGCATTATGAGCCATCTAGTTCATCTTCAGCGTTAGGAACTCAGAGTTCTTTGCATTGTGGTTTTAGAAAACCATCCGAGAGTAATGAAGAAACTTTAACATGGAATCAATCTGAAGGAAGGGAAAGAAAAAAGAAACATTCAAATCAAAAGTCATCGGAAAGCAGTAGCAGCCTGGAGTATCAACACATTGCAGAAGACACGAGAGAAAAATCACAGGCTGAGAGCTTAAGAGGTGACCCTTCAAAGAAAGAACACCTGCAGGAAACACACTCTACATTTGCTGGGTATTTTATCATTTTTTTTTTAAATTGATAAATGAATATTGAGGTCTAGAGGATTCAAAGAACTGAACTGTATTTTTAGCATTTGCTGAGTATTTTATCATTTGTTTTTTTTTAAATTGATAAATGAATATTGAGGTCTAGAGGATTCAAAGAACTGAACTGTATTTTTAGAACATCGCTTACCAGATACGAGTATAGTCTCCTCTTCCTTCAAATTGATGGAAGAGATAAAATAGGGACATTAAACAATACAGTAATATTACTTAGTGAATTGTATTTTAGTTTATTTTAAAAAGAGCTAGAATTCAGTAGGTATGTTTGCTGAAAATTTGTTGCTATTTTTAAAATTTAAAAACACCAAGTTAATCTTTAAAGTGGATGTGGATATCTCTTTTAAAGGAGATATTTCGGTTGTTTTTGTTACCAGTGCCATATTACTTGTTAAGGCATTTACCTCATTGTTAACATAATCATAATTACACATACTGCAGGTCTACAGGAGGTCTAGACTAAACGAAAATGTGTTGCGACAGCCCATAGTTGAAGTAACAAAGACCTGTTAAAGATCCTGCAGAGGGAAGCATGAATTATGATTGTTGTTTTGCAGAGAAAGAAATAATCCATTTTGGGCAATTGATGGATTTTAAAGATTACTTTAGGGTGTTAAATGTAAAACATAAAGTAGTGATTGTAACATCTAATGACTAGGAAAATACGTAGTGGTAACTGACTTTGTTATTGTACCTGTTGCACTTGTGTAGAGCTGGGTCAGAAGACAAACTCAGGTTAAGTGGATCAAGTCTAGGAGAACCCTGATTTAGCCATAGGGGTAATCCTGTTGGAGATTGACAGTGTTCCAAGGATAATGAAAAACTTGAATGATCATTGAATTATGTTTAAAAAAAAAATGCCACCAAATGATTGGTACACTAAAGGAAAAGGCTTTAGGAAATAATAGAAGTAAGTGGTAACAGTAGATACAAGCCTTATGATTTGGAGTCTTAAATCTGATTCGTTGCTTTTGTTAATGACTCCATCGGAAGCAGTAGATTATGAAGCACCCGTGTAACTGTGACTGGCAGAAAGCCGATAAATGTGGACTGAGTGATTGAACCCCCAGTCACATGGGATCTGGTTCAGTCTAGGGCTTTGCTCTCAGGAAACTGAAGGCAAAATCCAGTTGCGTTGACTGAATAAGCATGGCAGAGATAAGAGAATGTCTAAGGCAGTGTGCACTATGTAATTGTTCAGACCTCACTCTAAGTACCCTGAGTGGTAAAGTATTTCTAGTCCCTAGTTGTTGGTAGGATGAGGTTCTTACTCTCTGATAGCATTAGAGTTAACCTAATATTTGGGTAGTCAGTAGGTCTTAATTTCTGTAACTGTGGCTAAGCAGAGTATATAAAGCAGTTTTACAATGTTAGCATTCCATCTGATTATCTGATTATTTATATTTGTGTGTCTTCTTTAAATTGTAAACTTCTGATTTATTGTAACAGGCACCAACTAGAATACACATGTATACACACACACAAACACACACAGACATGCCTTTTTTGTTGTTTATATGTGGACAGTATTCTTGTTAGCTGTGTTAATTTTGATATTACACAGAGTTTGAGGTTTTCTGTGAATTCCTTGATTAGCTGGAGAGAGAAAGAAAAGTCTAGGAATCATCCAGTGTACATAAGAGAAAAGATTTCTGATTGTGTAGAATGTTATAAAGTAGAATAGGATCTTGAGCAATGTCTCAGAAGATTCAATAATAGATTGTTAGAAGTTGTTAGTTTGTTTGAACATTATCTTGGAAATACTTTACATTTTTTAAGAATTAGTTTATTTAAATTTGCTAATTTATTCATGTATTTATTTAAATTTGACCAGAGAGGGACAGAGTAAGAGAGACAGGGAAATTGAGAAAGCAAGCTGCCAGGTTTGAGACTTGAACCACAGTCAGCCATGTGGGAGTCCAGTGCCCTTAACTACCATGCCACCTGCCAGCCCCCACATTACATTTTTAAAGAATGCCAGAACACTAGGGAATTTTAGAACCAATGAACATTTTCCAGTAGTTGCCTGTATGATTAAGAGCTTTAAGCTTATTATTCCTAGAGATGAAATGTGTTGGTGTATATTTTTCTTTTGTTGGAAAATATATTAGCTAAGTACTTTCAAGAATTTAAAATCTATAATCATATGTAATATGAAGAAAAATTAATGTCTTTAACTTAGATTTTTAAGTTTAATATCAGAAACTAATTCATTTGTGTCTTCACCTGTGGATGTCATTCTTGGCACAGTTTGTTGTTATAACCCAGAAGGGCAAGAAAAGGATGGTATGTTCTGAAGGCTTAGAGTGTAGTCATGGGATCCTTCAGCAGGGGAGGAAATGTGAGAATAAATGGTAAGAAAAGAATTATTAATAGGAGATCTGTGGACAGTGCCAGGAGAAGAATAATATAGTATCCTCAAGGTTTCCAAAACCTCATTGGGCTACAGCTATTCTAATTGATTCTTCCTCAGAAATTTTCAGCCAGTGTTTTTTTATGTGTGTGTGTGTGTGTGTGTGTGTGTGTGTATGTGTGTGTGTGCGCATGCACGCACATATGGGTTTTACAGAGGGTACATTTTAATGGGAAAGTAGGGTTTACTTTTTAGAAATTAATTATAAAGAGGACTTCTGGTACCAGCAGTTAGCGTAATGGCTATGTTGCTAGACTCCCATGTAGTTGACCATGGTTCACATCCTGGACCCGGTGGATTAAACTCACGCCGGGCGTATGTGCGTGCGTGCCCAAGTTCCTGAGAGGAGAATGGAGGAGAAAGGATTGCAGCGTGGCCATCCCCACCTGGCGGGTGATTTCTCGCTTTCTGTCTCTCTGTCTCTCTCTGTCTTTCTGGTGAGCGCATGTGCCCTATAGCAAAAAAAAAAAAAAAAAAAAAAAAAAAAAAAAAAAAAAAAAAAAAAAAAAAAAGAAAAGAACACATAAAGCAGTAATCTTAGAAAAGAGAACGCTTGAACTTTTTAATTTTTACAGGATAATTGAAGGTGTTGTGATACTTTTTGCAAAACATTTTTCATCATTATTAATGCTTAGAGAAGGGAAAGGTCTATTTTCTGGTTTTAGTTACAAAGCAGAGTTTTTGTGTGATCTTAATAAAATAATGTATATTTTTCAGTCATTTTGTGCCTGACAGCTCCATGCCCAGTTCTTTTTTAGATAGGGTCTTGCCCAGGCCAGCTTCATAATTCTCCTGCTTTACGCTCTCCAAGTCACTGGGACTGCAGGTGCACACTAGTACACCTGGCCTTTAGGGTGGACTAGCATTGAACCCTGGCCTCTTAGGTGGTTCCAGCGTATAGAGTACAGCTTTTTAGTGCATTGCTGTTTTGCTGATTTGACTGGACCAACCAACAACTCTCTTGCTCTCTTTTTTTTTTTTTTGAAAGAGAGGGTTTTGCTATAGGGCACCTGTGCTCACTGGAGAGACAGAGAGACTAAGAGACAGAAAGTGAGAAATCACCCCAAGGGAGATGACCATGCTGCAGTTCCTTCTTCATTCTCCTTTTGGAATTTTGGGCATGGATTTACATGCACCTGACATGAGTTTTTAGCCACCAGGTCTGGGACTCAAAACCTTGGTCAAATATGTGAGAGTCCAATGACATAACCATTGCATCATCTGCTGGTTCCAAGAACTCTCATTTTAATTTTACTACCCATTAACATTATATGAAGTGTGTTGAAGTAACTGTTGATACTAAAATACTGGTACAAGAGATATTGAATTCTTATATATACTTTCATATACTAATCTACTTTTCATCTACTGATAAATTCATGTTAGAAAATATTCACATACACACACACACACACACACACACACACAGATTTGAAACATGTTAGTCTTTTTATGACATGGAAGTCACCTTTTTTAAAGACTCTCTTTGAGAGTCTAGTTATCATTCTGAAACTTAGGGGTTTTCCTTTCATTGCCCTTCTGTGACCGAATCTCTGATTTTGCATCCTGAGAAGTGAGGGGTAAAGGAAAGTTTCTCAGAAAAGTAAAAATTTTAAAAAGTAAAATAAAATGACAAAAGATGGGCCATCGAGTGGCTCCGAAGTTAAGGTGGCTGGATCTCATATGACTGACCTTGCAGTTTGTGTCCTGGACCTGGTGACTTGAAAAACATGTTAGTTTGGGACCAGCAGATGATGTGGTGGTTACGTCGCTCGACTCCCACACAACTGACCACAGTTTGAGTCGTGGACCCAGTGGCTTGAAAATTATGCCTAGAGTGTGTGCATGTGTACCCAAGATCCCAGAAGGAGAATGGACGAGAAAGGATTGCTGCATGGTCATCCGCCTTGGAGGGTGATTTCTCAGTTTCTCTCTCACTGTGTCTGTCTCTTGTTCTCTAGCATGTGCCTTAAGGCAAAAATCTTTAAAAAGACAAAACAAGAACAGCAACGAAAAACATGCTAGGCATGTGTGCTTATAGGAGAATGGAGAAGGGATTTTGGCATGGCTGTCCATGTTGGGAGGTGATTTCTCATTTTCATTCTCTGTGTGTCTGTCAGCCTCTGGCAAGTGTGCATGCCCTAACAGCAAGCAAAAACAAAAGAAAAAAAGAGATAAAAGATGTGCTCTTTGCATGGACAATAGTAGACATATTTGTCAGCTTAATCAAGAATATTTTATTGTAAAAGAGGGCATAAGATGCAAATTTTTTAAGCTAAATTATGACATGTGACTTATGGGGTGGTAGAGATAGAAATTATACATGGGAGAAATGGGTTAGACGAAGTGCCTCTCACTTTTAAAGTGTAGATACTTGAACATGTTTATATTTTAATGCAAAAGTGTCAATATCCATTGTAGAAGAAGCTAAACATGTTGAGAGATGATAGATGGGTCTGTTGAACACAATCTGTGAGGTTAGTGTGGATAAATAATGACATCCAGTTTATGTATGAGATTAGCTATGGATGGAAAGGTAAATAGAAATATGGTTACAGGCTATGGGTGACAGGGGAGAAAATTTAAGAATTCCTTCTTTATGACATAGATCAGTATTTTTACATCATGTCCCCAGAATATTGGTGATCCACTTTGTCTATGCATGGACCACAGTTGGTTAAAAAAAAAAAGGTGCCGTCAATTTCATTGACACACACATTTCACAAAATTGAAGTGTCCTCTCATTGTTCTGGGTTTTTTTTTAATTTTCCTTTTTTACTGCTGTTAGCTTATTTTTCACCTTAAATTTTGATGAACTTAAAAGAAACAAAATTACTCTTTTTTTTTTTTTTGGAGAGGTTTTTGCTATAGGGCGTGTGCCCACGCCAGAGAGAGAGAGACATAGAGACAGAAAGCGAGAAATTACCCCCCCAGGGGGGATGATCACGCTGCAATCCCTTCTCCTCCATTCTCCTCTCGGGATCCTGGGCACGCACGCACACGTGCCCGGCGTGAATTGTAAGCCACTGGGTCTGGGATGTGAACCGCGGCTGACCACGTGGGAGTCCAGGGACATAGCCATTACGCTAACTGCTGGTTCCCGAAACAAAATTACTCTTAACATTATTGGTTCAGGTACACATCATTTTCCCCTTAATTGATCTCTGGATAGTGAAAGTTTGAGAAACAGACTGTTTCTCACACACATTTAGATTTTAAAAGATATATCTGGACTGGTGTGACAAAGAATGAAGTAACAGGTGGATATTTGTGCATCATTTATTAATTTATGTTAGATTACTTTAATGAATTTATTCTGCTACTCTTCTATATTAGTGAATGTTTCTAAGTTTCCTAGGCATGGTATGAAAATGGAAATAGTTGCTAAATTCAAGGAATTCACAGTATAGGAGGGGCCGTCATACAGCTGTGTTGGTGGATATGGTACATAAATGCTGTGCTTGTATGTTCAGGGATAAATATAGGTATTATTCATAGCTACAGTAGTTACAGGAACAGATGATGAGCTCCTTTGGGATAAAATTAGGGAAAATAGAGTCCAGAGAAGTTGTGTCAGGAAAGTTGTGAGGTCTTAAAGGATGAACCTGTTAGGTAGTGAATGGGAAAGAGCAACCAACTTGTAAGGAAAAACATGGAGGTAGGAAACAGCATGATATAGTTGAAGATTTGCAAATAAGAGTGGTCGTCAAGAAGTTTGTGAAAAAATGGAATTAAAATATGAGTTTTGGGAGGTTTTGACTTCCTGTATGTATGAGTAAGCTACTATGCAGCATATTCTGGATGGGAAATCACATTTTGTATGTTGTGACAATGCTCAGTGAATGAATGTAAAATAATTAATTAAAAACAAAAAATTAAAATAAATAAATTTAAAAAAATGAATTTTGGGCCAGTTGGTGGCATGGTGGTTCAGGTGGTTGGTTCCCACATGGCTAACTCTGCAGTTTTTGAGTTTTGGACTTGGCGGCTTGAAAAACATCCTGGGTGTGTGTGCATGTAATGCATGCTCAGGATCCGGAGAGGAGAATGGAAAAGGGATTGCAGTGTGGCCATCTGGCCTTCCCTCTTAGGAGATCATTTCTCTCTCTCTCTCTGTCTGGTGAGTGGATACACCCTATAGCAAAATTTAAAACAAACAAACTGGGTGAGTGCATACACCCTATAGCAAAACTTAAAACAAACAAACAAACAAACAAACAGATGGGGTCAACAGGTGGTGTGATGGTGAAGGTGCTGGATTCCCACATGGCTGACCACAGTTCAAGTCCCAGATCTGGCAGCTTGCTTTCTTTATCTCTCTCACTCTCTTGACAAATTGAATAATAATAAATAAAATTAAACAATTATTTTAAAAAAGATTAATTTTGTTGCAAGAAAGTTGAGATCCATGGATAGTTAAAAATTTTATATATATATATATATATATATATATATATATATATATATATATATATATATATATATATATATATATATATATATATATATATATATATATATATATATATATATACACACACACACACACTTTTTTTTTGACTAGAGGGCTCATGTGATACTAGGGAATTGGGAGGCAGGGAGAAGAGAGCACCCTTCAATCAGGGCAAGGTGGTCAGGCCACAGTCCTTTTTTCTCCATTGTTCCATCCTGTCAGGATTTGGGGCATCCGTGCATATGTGCTTGCAGCATGATTTTTGAGCTACCAGGACCAGAATTCATACTATGGTCACCATGTGGGATCTGCCTTTCCATGTACAACACTTAATCCCTGCACTTTGGGGTCGGCCCCAAAGAATAGTTTTTTCCTCATACATGTTTTCTGTGGGTTTTTTGAAGTTCGGTCGTAGCATTTTGGACTGTATGATGTGGCAGCCACTTGAGGTCAGGGTATATTTCTTTGTAATCTTTCTCATCTTGGCAGAGTGCTTACCAATACGTTAATCTCTCAATAATATATGGAATATGCTTGAGTGGGAGAAAATGGGCAGGTAGTGTTGGAAGTATTGTTTGTGCATTTTAAAATGACTCCAAAAGTTATGTTTATGAGTTGGACAGTATTATCTGAGTAACAGGAAATAAACAGTTTCTTGCGTAGGAAACAGGAGTCGGAGAGGCAGACCTGGAACACGCAGACTTGATGCGTGTAGAATTGCCCTGATGCTCGTCAGAAAGGGCATATCTTATGGTTATTTTGCATTTTATGTACTTGTAGACATTTAATATCTAGAATTTTCACATAATCACAGAAGTAAAATTTTGAAGTAGAGAATTTGTGAAAATTAATCAAATAGCAAAGAATGCAAATAGAGAAAAGTTATGTTGACTATTAAGTAAAAACTTTTATAGAAATATGATTGGGTTGCCCAAACTTCAAATAAATTACATTTACAATACAATAAAAATGACATGTACCTCAGAGTTTAATTTGAAAAAAATTACTAAAAATTATTTTTCATACAATAAAGTGCATAATGATAGAAGCAATAGCTCAATCCGCAAAAGCACATAAAAAGTAATAACATTTTGTTTCCATGAATGCAGTGCCCCTACTGTTCATTTTAATTGTTTTTTAAAATGTATACTAAAAGAATATGAGGGGAATGAAAGTATGTTATTTTTTAATGATACTTCACCTTAAATATATGAGAAATTGTAGTTTTTATCTGTAGCAATTTAATTGAGTTTCTTTTTTCCTTTTTGTCTTTATTGCCCCTAACTTTTTAAATATATGGAGGATAGTTAGAATGATAACTTTTAATATCCTTGACTGCTGTTTCTTAGGTGTCAGTCAGTTCTTTATTCTTTTTTTCTTTCTAGAGATTTTTGCTTTAGGGTGTGTGCGCTTGCCAGAGAGAGACAAGACAGAGACAGTGAGAGGGAAAGTGAGAAATTCCTCTCACCCCCAGGGAGAATGGCCACATGACAGTCTCTTCTTCATTCTCCTCTTGGGATTCTGGGCTTTTGGGCATGCTCACACCTGCTCCTGGGATGAGTTTCAAGCCACCAAGTCCAGGTCTCGAACCTCAGCCAGCCATGTGGGAGTCTAGCAATGTAACCGCTACGCCATTGCTGGCCCCAGTATCAGTTCTGAGTTGAATTTGACTGAAAATGTTTTCTTCTGTTGGGTCATCAGGAAAGTCATGATGCATTTTTGCATAGAAAAATATGTCATGACTTTTTCGATGACCCAATAGTTACAGATTTCTTTTTTAAAAAAATTATTTGCACTTCCGATAATCTTTGATTAGGTACTAGTACTACGGATTTTACCATGTCAAGTGCTAGATATTTCTGATTTGTATAAATATCCTTGAGCAATTTTCTTCTGACTGTTAAATGGAAACTGTTAGGTTGTTGGTGAAGTCATGATATCTTTTTCTTTGTTTCCCTATGCAAAAATGTGTCACTACTTTACTTTCCTGACAGCCCAACCTTTTAACACCTGCTTGTAACATTTGCTAGGCAGACCGGCACCGGTATTTAGGACTTCTTATTTCCCACTAATGAGACAAGACCCTATTCCACCCAGATACTTCTGAATTAGGAGGTTTCCTGGTCTGGCTAGTGGGATTGGACAGTATTCCAAGGAGTACAAATTGTACCTCTAAGCCTTTGAGAAAGACCTTTGCTTAACCACAGGGGGTTTTTGCCAGACACGCAAAGGGAACCTTTAGCAGTTCTCTGGGATTTTCTCACTGTGTAGCTTTCTCTCTGGTACAGTTCTTAGCTATGTTTGCCTCTAGGCAGGAGTCTTCAGGCTCGGTCTGCCTCCTGTACTCTATCCTTGAATTCTTTTTAAGGCAGTAAGCTGGGATAATCTGACCTTGGCCAGAAATTTCTCTCTCTCTTTTTTGTGATTGTTGGTTTGGATTTGACACAGGATCTGTAGTGTAAGTTTCACACATCATCTCATTTTTATCTTTATGTTGTTTGACTACATGCTATGTTCTTGACTGATTGCAAAGAACACATGATCATTGCTTTTATTCTGTGAATGCAGTTAAATATGTCATTTTCTGATTAAAGTTTCTTAGATTATCGACAATTTATTACATTGAATAAGAAATGTTTCCAAAGATGTATAGAAGGATGGCTTGATTCTGTTGGGTCGAGGGAAAAGTCAGGACATATTTTTCTGTTTTTCTATGCAAAAATGTGTCATGACATTTTTGATGACCTGATCGTTTTTGTTTCCTTTTTAAAATTATGAGTATCTGATACTTAATAGTGAAAAATAGTTTATTTGTATTATTTAGCTCATTGTTCGTGAGACTTTGATCATTTGTTATTATTGCCATAGGCCATCATGGCATTGTAACAGAGAAGCATAAATAGTTGATTTATGAGTTTAATTTTTATATATTAGAATCATTACCTGCTACTGATGTTAAATGCTTTGGGGTCTTGATCATTTGAGTCTTGATGCTGTTACTTGCATTGTACCTGTATTTCAGATGCTCTTAATCTGCCCTGTTCCAACAGTAGTCCAGAAGATGAGTCCCTCCACATCCTGAGTGTTGATGAGAAGAACAAGTTGGGAGCCAAGATTATCAAGGCAGAGATGATGGGGAATCTGGTAAGACTCTTGAATGTTATTCTTTTGGAGAATAGGGATTAAATATTTATCTTACAGGTAATTTCAGAAGTGTGACAATGGTGTGAATATAGCACACTGTGAAAATAACTGCTGCTTCATGAGTCTTTAAATTCTTTTTTTGGGGGGGAGAGAGGTCTCTACTATAGGGTGCGTGCACTTGCCAGAAAGATATAGAGAGAGACAGACAGAAAGCGAGAAATCACCCCTGGGGGGATGGCCATGCCACAATCTCTTCTCCATTCTCCTCTTGGGATCTTGGGCACGCACACACATGTGCCTGGCATGAGTTTAAGCCATAGGGTCCAGGACTCGAACTGCAGTCGACTACTTGGGAATCCAGCGACATAGCCATTACGCCAACTGCTGGTCCCTATGATTCCTCAAATTCTTAAGCATTTCTAGAAGCAGTACTGTCTACTTTTAAATAAATTAACTACTTTTTCTGTCAGGTTTCTGAAATTTAAGATCCCTTGGAACTACATTATTATTATTATTTTTTAAGGGAGTTTTTGCTATAGGTCATGTACACTCTCCGGACAGACAGAGACAAAGTGAGAAATCATCCTGCAGGTGTGGGAGGGGGGAGGAAGATGACCATGCCACAATTCCTCTCCTCCATTCTCTTCTTTGGATTTTGGCCACGTGCACACACACGCCAGGCATGAATTTTAAGCCACCAGGTCTGGGACTCAAACTCTGGTTGGCCATGTGGGAATCTAGCATCTTAACCATTATGCCATTCGCTGACCTAAACTGCATATTTTTGATTTCCTTTTTTTAACTTTGATATTTACTTTATTCTTGAATTTCTGAGCATATTTGAGAGAGATAAAGATGTCACTGTCTGCTCTCCCATTTTCACCGTATATCATGGGGCTGGCAGGTGATGAGGTGTTGGGGCACTGGACTTCCACATGGCTGACTGTGGTTTGCGTACTGGACCTGCAGCTTGCTTGCTTCTCTCTCTCATGAGTGCATATGCCCTATAGCAAAATTAAAATATTAACAATAGTAAACAAATATTTTTAAAAAAAGGCTTATTACTCTCTTAATTACTTTATGTAGGAACCTAAAAAATGAGCTTTAAGAAAAGGATAGCTAGGGCCAGCTCATGGTGATTAAGGTGGCTGAATCCCACTGAGTGACTGCAATTCTTAGTCCTGACCCCTGTGGCTTGAGAAACATGACAGGCATGTATGTGCATGCCCAAAATCTTAAAAGGAAGGAGAAATGGAGGAGAAGGGATTGTGATCTCCCAGAGGGGAGTACTTTCTCACTTTTCCTATTTTTCTTTCTCTCTCTCTGGCAATCATGTGTGCCCTGTGACCAAAAAAAAAAAAAAAAAAAAAGAAAAGAGAAAAGGCGGAAAAGAGGTGGTTAATGTATTTATTTAGGAATGAAGAGGCAGTGTGTTTGCGCCTGTTTCTTCCTTAGATGCTTGGATGCTTGGTCTAAGTTAGCTCGTCTAGTTCTCATAATAAGACTGATTCACCTCAGAAATGAATAGAAATAGAGATGATTTGTAATGCTGTATTTATTTCTTTTATTTATTTGTTTGTTTTAAGGTTTTTGCCGTAGAACACATGTGCTCGCCAGAAAGACAGTGAGAAGGAATGTGAGAAATCACCTCCTGGGGGGACGGCTACTCTGCAGTCCCTTCTCCTGGGATTTTGGGCATGCTTACATGTGCACCTGTTTTTCAGGCTGCCAGGTACAGGACTAGAACCACAGTCTGCCATGTGGGAGTCTAGTGCCTTAACCACTATGCCACCTACTGGCTCCTATTCATTCATTTGTTTCTTATATTAGTGTATGCTCATTAAAATGATGCACAGTAATATGTGTATAGTAAAATGCACAGGCAGAATGGCATAGCCAGCTAGTGTTCCATGTCTTTTTCTTTTAAAGAATTATTTTATTCAACTTTATTTATTTTTTTTTAATTTGACCAGAGAGAGAGAGAGAGAGAGAGGGGCCAAGTGAAAAAGCAGACTACCAGGTTTGGGACTTGAACCACTGTCGGCCATGTGGGAGTCTAGTCCCCTTTAACCCCTACAATGCCTGCCGGCACCTGTTTTATGTCTTAATAAAATAAATTCAATCGTGGTAATGGTTTAACTCTCTTCTTTTTTTTTTTTTTTGGAGAGATTTTCACTGTAGGGTGCGTGCGCTCGCCAGACAGACAGAGAGAGACATAGAGATAGAAAGCGAGAAATCACCCCCCAGGGGGGATGGTCACGCTGCAATCCCTTCTCCTCCATTCTCCTCTCGGGATCTTGGGCACGCACGCACATGCGCCCGGCGTGAGTTTTAAGCCACCAGGTCCGGGACACGAACCGCGGTTGACTACGTGGGAGTCCAGCGACATAGCCATTACGCTAACTGCTGCTTCCTCTTCTTAAACCTAAATATAAATAATCTAAGTAGTTCTCTATTTTGATGTACTATTATTACAGTGCTTTCTAGTAAAACAAATGATAACCAAACAGTATAATACTTTTACTGATTTTGTGTCCAATAAAAGGCTTATTTTGTATTTGCTGCTCTAACCTCTTTGAATCTAGTCCTTAGCATTGAACTTCTCCTTAACCGAGAATTTGATGAGAGAGATAAACTAACAACAACAATAATAACAACACAGAAATGAAGTTTGAGTTTTGAAAGTACAGAGGACTAGCTAAAACAGTGGAATAGAGTTTATCTATGGTAGGAGTGTTTAAATAAGTGTTCATGGAAGCACTTTGGGAGCATGTTATTCTATTTGAGACATGAATCTAATTAATTTATTATTTGTGGTGTATTGCTTTATATGCCAGTTGTTTTATATAATTTCCTATGGACTTCCTAGAATAAAAATGAAATATATTCAGAATTTTTAATCCAAATTACTTACCAATAATAAAGAAGGTAATTAAAAATATATTTTGCTATAAAGCATGTGTGCTTGCCTGAGAGAGAAAGATGGTGAGGGGGAAAGTGAGAAATCGTTCCTTGAAGGAAATGACCATACTGCAATCTCATCTCCTCCATTCTCTTCCTGGGATTTTGGGCGTGCACACACAAGTGCCCAGTGTGTTTCAATCTGCTGAGTCTGGGACTTGAACCATGGCTGACCATGTGGGGGTCCAGCACCTTGAATACCATGCTACCTGCTGGCTCAAGGTAATATTTTAGATATTGTGCTGTTATAAATAACTGAAATTGTAAGTATTTGAAGTTCATAATATATTAGGTATTATAAAAATCTCATTCTTAAGGTTATGTCATTCTTAAGGTTCCTCCCTCTCCCTATCTCCTGTCAAAAACATGTTCTTGGGAACCAGCAGTTAGCGTAATGGCTAGGTCGCTGGACTCCCACGTAGTCGACCGCGGTTCGGGTCCCGGACCCGGTGGCTTAAAACTCATGCCGGGCGCGTGTGCGTGCGTGCCCAAGATCCCGAGAGGAGAATGGAGGAGAAGGGATTGCGGCGTGACCATCCCCCCTGGGGGGTGATTTCTCGCTTTCTATCTCTATGTCTCTCTCTGTCTGTCTGGCGAGTGCACGCGCCCTACAGTGAAAATCTCTCCCCCCCCCCAAAAAAAAAAACGTGTTCTTATAATAATTTACCTTCAAAGCATACACTAATTCCACTGGTATTTGAGAAGTTTGTAACTGAGGTAAGTTCATTAAAAATAATATATTAGGTTAGGAGTTGATAATCGAAGTAAGTTTATGGCCACATGGGTCTTAGTTATACTCTTTTCTCCTCTGCTGTATAAATTTGAAATATTCTGTAGTAAAGAATTAAACTACATGTGACTCCCTTTTTTGTTTGTTTGTTTTTTGTCTTCTTTTTGAAGGAATTAGCTGAACAACTTAAAGCCCAACTTGAAAAGGCAAATAAATTTAAAGAAACTATAACACAGATATCAAAAACATCTGGGGTAGAGGTAAGTAATCAAAGTTTTGTGCAGTCATGTAATTGTCTTGTATGGTACTACTTCTTTGCAATGGTAATATTTTAACTCGGGATTGTCTGTATCTGTGTTTGTGTTTATGTGTCTGTATGCTTGTTTTAAAAATTTGTTTTTAAATGTATTCTCTTACATTCCACCAGTGTGTCCTGGTGGAAAAAAGTCTAGGCCTGGGGTCAACGAGACTTGCTTCTTTTTGGAATCTGCTGCTTATTGGTTGACCTTAGAAAAGTCAAGTTGGGTCTTAAATTCTTCCCTTACAGATTGAGAGAATGGAATTAGATATCCATTTATATAAACAGATAACTTTATTCTGTGATTCATTGATCTGTCTTATCAGCATGGAAATTTCATTTTGGTAGTAACAGAGAGACAATACATGATTAAAAAATTACATTATACAACATATTAAGAAATCATACATCCTGTGACAGGGTAGTAGGGATTTTGGTTGACAAATGGGTTAGTGGGTTGGGGCACACAGGCTATTTGTCACTGGAAAAGTGACATTGAGGCAGACTTGAAGGAGTGAATCTCCTGAAGAACACTTCAGGCATAGGGAATAGAATTGAAAGGTCCAAGAACGAGAACATGTCTGATATGTAAGAATAACAAGGAGACCCTGGTTGGTGGAGTGGAATGAATGAGAGAGAGGGAAACAGAAAATCCAGGTTGGAGAGACTTTGAGAGACTAGGTCATGTTGTCCTTTGAAAGTCAGTATAAGGAGGGACCAGTAGATGATGTAATAGCTATGTCGTTGGACTCCCATGGGGTTGACCATGGTTTGAGTCCCAGACCTGGTGGCTTAAACTCACACCAGGGGTGTGTACGTGCATGCCTACGATCCTGAGAGGAGAATGGAGGAGAAGGGATTGAGGCGTGGCCATTTCCCCTTGGGGGTGCCTTCTTGCTTTCTGTCTCTATGTTTTTCTGTCTTTCTGGCAAGTGCATGTGCCCTATAGCAAAAACCTCTCTCCTCCCCCAAAAAAGAAAGTATAAGGAAATGAATTTTTATTCTGACTGAGGTAGAAAGCTGTTAAAAGGTTTTAAGCAGAAAATGTATTTTTACAAGAGCACCCTGGCTTCTGTATTAAGAGTAAATTGAGGCATAGCCGTGTTAGTATGTGCTGGTAGCTGCTGCTGCTTGGCAGTCTCAGGCCACATGGGAGGTCTGTGTTTGATTCTCAGCCCACCCTCAAAGCCACGGGCAGTGTCACACACCTGTAATCCCAGCTATTTAGGAGGCTGAGTCAAGAGAATGGTGAGTTCACTGCCACATGGGCGACATGGTAAGACTTGGTCTCATGGAGCTGGATGTGGATATGTGTGTTGTACTCCCAGCTACTCTAGAGGCTAAGACAGGCTTATGACATAGTGACACCCTGTCTGAAAACAAAAACATGGTGAAAGAACTGTCTGAGGGAGCTGGTCATGGTGGTGTGCACCTATTGACCCACCTATTCGAGAGGCTGAAGCAAGAGGATCGTGACAGGTTTGAAACTCTCTTTTATTTATTTTTTTTAAAGGTAGAGTGAAAGAAAATAAGGGCAAAAGCTGGAGTCTGGGTAGGCTTTTGCAGTAATGCAGATAAGAAATGATAGTAGCTTTGACCAAAATATTAGTGAAGTAGATGATTAAAAGTAATTATGTTTTGTATACATATAAAATATTGGGTTGTCTAAAAAGTCATGGTGCATTTTTGAATAAAAAAGATTTCCTGACTTTTTATGATTTACATGTAATTTCATTTCTAAGTTTTTACATATAAAGTAAAATGAATATTTTAATTTTTACACAAATATTTATAATCATATTGGATATGTAAAAGTTTAGATATGAAATTATATGTAAATGTTATACATGTAATTTGTAAACATTAATATTATTTGTATATAAGACTGCCAGAGGGCATGTGCACTCACTAGAGAAAGAAAGAGAGACACAGGGAGGGAGAAAGCACCCCCCAGTGGGGCATGGTCATGTCACAATCTCTTCTCTTCTCCATCCTATTGGGATTTAGGACATATATGAACATGTGCCTGATGTGTTTTTCTAGGTGCCGGGGCTGTGATTTGAACTGCAAGTCAGCCATGTGTGCAGTCCAGCTTTTCTTAACCACTAGGCTGTGGGGTCAGCCTTCTGTATTTTGAAAGGAGAGCTGACATGGTTTTAAATGGTGATTTAGATGGGTGTGGGTAGGTGGGTAATGAGATAGAGAAAGCAGAGGACTTCAGGATTTTTAGCTTCAGTAGTTGAAAGAATAGAGTGGCCATTTGCATTGTGGAAGAAAGATTTGGAGGTGAAGATTACATTTCTCTTTTGGATATTAAGAATTTGGATGCCTATTAAAAAGATGTGGAATGAGTAATGATGTCAAGTAGGCATTTGGATAGTTGGGAGAAATAAGCTTGGGCTGGAGCTAGAAATCGGAGCATCATTAGGATATAGATGATGTTCAAATGCGTGATACTGTGTGAAACCATCACAGGCTTCAATAGAGATAGAAATCGAAGAACTGAGTTGAGTGCATTACAGTGTTGTAAGTTTGGGTAGGCTGACTCATTTACTCTTCACAGTAGCCCTTGTGAGTAGACTGTGTCATTATCATAGTTTTATCAAGAAACTGAAACAAAGGAGTTTTAGTAACTTGTCCAAATGTACAACCAATAAATGAAGAATGAGCATGGAAACCCATGAGTACTTAGATTTACATGATAAAGAGACCTCTTTGATGTTGAAAGGTCAAAGTCAGCAGACATTTTAGAGAGTCTGGTTTAGGATCTAAAGACACTGAATAATGAGATTCATTAAGTTTTGGAGATTGCTAATTTTATATCAGGAAAAATCTGATTCTAATTCTTTAATATATTAGATCATAATTTGCTTCTATAATTTTTACCTGTTAATACTGCTTAAATGGAATCATAAAGTTAAATAAAATAAAATAATTGAGAAGTGGGGCCAGCAAGTGGTGGGTGGTTAAGGTGCTGAACTCTCATTTGACTAACCATGGTTTGAGTCCTGGACCTGGCAGATTGCTTTCTCAACTGTCTCTCTCTCTCATGAGCACATGTAGTCATGGTGCATTTTTGAATAAAAAAGATTTCCTGACTTTTTATGATTTACATGTAATTTCATTTCTAAGTTTTTACATATAAAGTAAAATGAATATTTTAATTTTTACACAAATATTTATAATCATATTGGATATGTAAAAGTTTAGATATGAAATTATATGTAAATGTTATACATGTAATTTGTAAACATTAATATTATTTGTATATAAGACTGCCAGAGGGCATGTGCACTCACTAGAGAAAGAAAGAGAGACACAGGGAGGGAGAAAGCACCCCCCAGTGGGGCATGGTCATGTCACAATCTCTTCTCTTCTCCATCCTATTGGGATTTAGGACATATATGAACATGTGCCTGATGTGTTTTTCTAGGTGCCGGGGCTGTGATTTGAACTGCAAGTCAGCCATGTGTGCAGTCCAGCTTTTCTTAACCACTAGGCTGTGGGGTCAGCCTTCTGTATTTTGAAAGGAGAGCTGACATGGTTTTAAATGGTGATTTAGATGGGTGTGGGTAGGTGGGTAATGAGATAGAGAAAGCAGAGGACTTCAGGATTTTTAGCTTCAGTAGTTGAAAGAATAGAGTGGCCATTTGCATTGTGGAAGAAAGATTTGGAGGTGAAGATTACATTTCTCTTTTGGATATTAAGAATTTGGATGCCTATTAAAAAGATGTGGAATGAGTAATGATGTCAAGTAGGCATTTGGATAGTTGGGAGAAATAAGCTTGGGCTGGAGCTAGAAATCGGAGCATCATTAGGATATAGATGATGTTCAAATGCGTGATACTGTGTGAAACCATCACAGGCTTCAATAGAGATAGAAATCGAAGAACTGAGTTGAGTGCATTACAGTGTTGTAAGTTTGGGTAGGCTGACTCATTTACTCTTCACAGTAGCCCTTGTGAGTAGACTGTGTCATTATCATAGTTTTATCAAGAAACTGAAACAAAGGAGTTTTAGTAACTTGTCCAAATGTACAACCAATAAATGAAGAATGAGCATGGAAACCCATGAGTACTTAGATTTACATGATAAAGAGACCTCTTTGATGTTGAAAGGTCAAAGTCAGCAGACATTTTAGAGAGTCTGGTTTAGGATCTAAAGACACTGAATAATGAGATTCATTAAGTTTTGGAGATTGCTAATTTTATATCAGGAAAAATCTGATTCTAATTCTTTAATATATTAGATCATAATTTGCTTCTATAATTTTTACCTGTTAATACTGCTTAAATGGAATCATAAAGTTAAATAAAATAAAATAATTGAGAAGTGGGGCCAGCAAGTGGTGGGTGGTTAAGGTGCTGAACTCTCATTTGACTAACCATGGTTTGAGTCCTGGACCTGGCAGATTGCTTTCTCAACTGTCTCTCTCTCTCATGAGCACATGTGCCCTATATCAAACTTTAATAATAATGATAATAAATAAGGTAAATAAATAATAAACAATAAATGATATTTCAAAGTAATTGAGTTAAGACACCTTAGATGGTCACAACTATTTAATTTGTGCTTTGAAGTTTTCAATAGTACTTTGATCATACTGGATTATTGCCATAATTCTCTCACTCGGATCCAATTCTTGGGTACATTGTTAAGTTCATTGTGCTGCTATTGCTATTGTGATTCTCAGAATATGTAAACCCCTCAATTTTTTTTATGTTTCAGTGTATCAGTTTCTGCTGTTGATACCCATAAATATAGTAAAAAAAAAATGCAAGACTAAAACAAAATTCAAGCATTAATAAGTACATAGTCACAACTATCCAAAATAATTACTCTACAAATTTCTCTCTAAATTATTACTCTTAAAAGAATGTTCATTATAAAGTGATTAAAGTTTTAAAAAATTTTACCCCACAAAGCACTAAGAAGTAAATATGGCCTATAGTTATATTAGTG